CCCTCCTGCACGGCCACGCGTGTCCCCAGGCACACACACACACATGTGCACACACACATGTGCACACCCTCCTGCACGGCCACGCATGTCCCCGGGCACACACGCACACATGTGCACACACACGTGCACACCCGCCTGCACGGCCACGCGTGTCCCCGGCCACACACACACACACACACACACATGTGCACACCCTCCTGCATGGCCACGCGTGTCCCCGGTCACACACACACACATGTGCACACACATGCACACGCCAGGGACGGACACACACCCTGGTTGTTCCACGGGAACACAGACACACGTGCACACGTGCAGGCACAGCCCTGGGGTTTGCACACGCATGTGCCCTGGGCACACACACACACACACACACACCCCTGGGTGCTGGGGTGTGAGCAGGGCAGGGATGGGGGTGCCAGGCACAGGGAGGGGGGGCCCCGGGCTGTTCCTGCAGGGCTGGATTCCCACTCCCTCTCCTGCTTTTCCTGTTGCTGGTGCCCGGCAGGCAGAGGCGTGTGAAGGGACCCGTGTGCGTGGGCACGTGTGCAGGGACAGATCCCTCTGCACGGGCGTGCACAGGCAGATCCCTGTGCATGGGTAGATCCATCTGCGCACCGATGGATCCACACAGGCGTGGAGGGATCCACGTGAGCAGGGAAGGAGCCACGTGTGCACAAGCAGATCCATCCGCATGGGTGTTCACAGACAGGCCCGTGTGCACACGCGTGTGAGTGGATCCACGTCTGCGTGGGTAGATCCACGGATGTATGGACAGATCCGTGTGCCTGGATGGATCCATGGGTGCACACGTGTGCCTGGAGGCCTCCACATGTGCACGAGCAGACTCATTCACAGAGTCACAGAATCTTGGGGGTTGGAAGGGACCTGGAAAGCTCCCCCAGCCCAGCCCCCCTGCCAGAGCAGGGGCACCCAGAGCACATCACACAGGAACGTGGCCAGGGGGGTTGGAATGTCTCCAGAGAAGGAGACTCCACAGCCTCTCTGGGCAGCCTGGCCCAGGGCTCTGGCACTCTCACAGCAAACAAGTTCTTCCTGAGATTCCCATGGAACCTCCTGTGCTCCAGTTTGCACCCACTGCCCCTTGTCCTGTCCCTGGACATCACTGCACAAAGCCTGGCTCTGTCCTCCTGACACTGCCCTGAACAGATTTGTGCCCATGGATGAGGTGGCCCCTCAGTCTCCTCTTCTCCAAGCCCAACAGCCCCAGCTCCCTCAGCCTTTCCTCAGCAGGGAGATGTTCCCCTCCCTCCAGCATCTCTGGGGCTCTGCCCTGGACTCTCTCCAGCAGTTCCCTGTCCTTCTGGAACTGAGGGGCCCAGAACTGGACACAACACTCCAGATGTGGCCTCACCAGGGCAGAACAGAGGGGCAGGAGAACCTCCCTGACCTACTAACCACCCCCTTT